AATTATACACCAACAAATTGGACAACCTAGAAGAAATGGATAAATTCCTGGAAACATACAACCTACCAAGATTGAATCAAGAAGAAATAGAAAGCTTGAACAGACCAATAACAAATAAGGAGATTGAATAAGTAATAAAACACCTTGTAAGATAGAAAAACCTAGGATCAGATGGCTTCACAGGTGAATTCTACCAAACATTTAGAGAAGAATTAATACCAATTTTCTTAAACTCTTCCAAAAAGTGTAAGAAGCAAGAACACTTGTGAACTCATTTTATGAGACCAGTATCATCCTGATATCAAAGCCAGACAAAAATACCACAAGAAAAGAAAACTATAGATGCAAAAATCCTCAACAAAATATTAGCACACCAAACTCAACAGCACATTACAAGGATCATATATTGTGACTAAGTGGGATTTATCCCTGGAATGCAAGGATGGTTTGACATATGAAAAGCAATCAACATGATACACCATATTAACTGAATGAAGAATAAAAATCACACTCTCATCTCAATAGATACAGAAAAAGCATTTGACAAAATTAACACCCTTTCACGATAAAAGCCCTCAACAAATTAGGTGTAGAAGGAACTTACTTCAACACAATAAAGGCCATATATGAAAAACTCACAGTGAGCATCATACTCAATGGAGAAAAACTGAAAGCTTTTACAGTCAGGAACAAGACAAAGATGCCTTCTCTTGCCACTTTTATTCAACATAGTACTGGAAGTCATAGCTAGAGTAATTGGACAAGAAAAAGAAATAAAAGGCATCAAAATCAGAAAGGAAGAAGTAAAATTATCTCTGTTTGCAGATGACACGGTGTTATATGTAAAAATCTCTGAAGACCCCATCAAAAAGGTGTTAGAACTAATAAACAAATTTAGTAAAGTTGAAAGATGTAAAATTCACATACAAAAATCAGTTGCATTTCTATGCACTAACAACAAACTATCTGAAAAGGAAATCAAGAAAACAATTCAATTTACAATAGCATTAAAAAGAACAAAATACTTAAGAATAAATTTAACCAAGGAGGCGAAAGACTTGTACACTGAAAAGTATAAAACATTGCAAAAAGAAATTAAAGAAGACACAAATTAATGAAAAGACATCCCATTTACACAGATTGGAAGAATTACTATTGTTAAAATATCCATATTACCCAAAATGATCTACAGATTCAAAGCAATCCTTATCGAATCCCAACAATGTTTTTGCAGACATAGAAAAAATTCATCCTAAAAGTCATATGGAATCTCAAAGGACACTGAATGGCCAAAACAATCTTAAAAAGAACAAAGTTGGAGGCCGTACACTTCCTGATTTCAAAACTTACTACAAAGCTGCAGTAATTCAAACAGTATGGTACTGGCAAAAGATAGACAAAGAGACAAAGGGAATAGACTAGAGAGCCCAGAAATAAACCTTAAATTATAGAGTAAAATGATCTTTGACAAGGGTACCAAGAATACACAATGGGGAAAGGATAGTCTCTTCCATATATGGTATTGGGAAAACTATATATCCACATGCAAAAGAACGAAATTGGACCCTTATCATATACCATACACAAAAATCAAATCAAAATTGATTAAAGACTTAAACATAAGCCTTGAAACTGTAAAATTTCTGGAAGAAAATATAGGAGGAAAACTTCTTGACATTGGTCTTGGCAATGATTTCTTGGATTTGATATCAAAAGCCCAGGCAATGAAAGCAAAAATAGACAAAGGGATTACATCAAACCAAAAGGTTTCTGCACAGCAAAGAGATCAATCAATAAAATAAAAGACAACCTACAGAATGGGAGAAAACATTTGCCAACCACATATCTGATAAAGGATTAATATCCAAAATATATAAGAAACTCCTAAAACTCAATATCTAAAAACCAAATAACCCAATTGAAAAATGGGCAAAGGACCTGAATAGATATTTATCCAAAGAAGGCATATAAATGGCCAAGAACTATATGAAAATGTGCTCAAAATCACTAATCATCAGGGAAATTCAAATCAAAACCACATTGAGATGTCATCTCACACTTGTTAGGGTAGCTGTTATAAAAAAATTAAAAGTTAACAAGTGTTGGTGAAGATGTGGAGAAAAGGGAACCTTTGTACACTGTTGGTGGGAATGTACATACATTGGTGCAGACACCATGGAAATCAGTATGGAATTTCCTCAAAAAATTAAAAATGGAACTATCGTGATCCAGCAATTCCACTTCTGAGTATATATCTAAAGGAAATAAAATTCATGGATGAACCTGGAGGACATTATGGTCAGTGAAATAAGTCAGACACAAAGGAACAAATTGTGTATGATCCTACTTATATGAGGAATCTAAAACAGTTAAACTTAGAAGCAGAGAAGGAATGGTGGTTACCAGGGCATGGGGGAGGGAGAGTAGGGAAGGTGTTGGTCAAAGGGTATAAAATTTCAGTTATGCAAGGGGATTAAGTCCCAGAGATCTACTGTGCAGCATAGTGCCTATAGTTAACAATACTGTATTGTGTACTTAAAATTTTGCTGAGAGTAGATCTTATGGTAAATGTTCTCACCACAAAAAAAATTAAAAATTTAAAAAATAAAGAGAGTGGAGGAAACTTTTGGAGGTGATGGATATGTTTATAGTATTCATTGTGGTCATGGTTTCATAAATGTACACTTATCTCCAAATTCATCAAGTTGTATGCATTAAATATGTACAGCTTTTTGTATGTCAATCATACTTCAATAAACTGTTTTTTTAAAAAAATCTCAAACACACAAAAAATCAGGGAATTCTTCCCAGGGGAAGAGGAGCATTATTTCTCATATGGAGTAAAAGAATGGAATTCAAAAATTTGAGCAGAGAAAAGGTAGGAAATGATGTGGAGGTTGGGTACAGACAATGTATCCTTTCTCCTTTCTTTTTATGCTGAAGGTTTGAGAGAAGATTCTGTCAGTTCAGAAGAATGTAATTTAATAACATTAATAATAACAACAACGAGACCTGACATTTATTGAGCTCTTTTATGTGCTGAGCACTATGCTAAGGGCTGCACGTACATTGTCTTATTTAATTCTACAAAACTCCATTACATATTCATTTACTATTAAAAAATATTTATTGAACATTTGTTACATGCTTGATACTGTGCCAGGTGCTAGGGATACAGTGATAAACAAAATCATCATGGTTCCTGCTCCTGGAAAGCTTACAGTATAGGAGAAACAGAATTAAACAAATAAAAATAAATATTTAATGACGTGATAAATGACATGGAAGATGTAACAGAACAATAGGGGGATCCACTTCAGATAGAGTGGTCTGAGGTCTGTCTGTCTTAGAAGGTGACATACGTAAGCTGAGACCTAAAGAATAAGCAGGAGCCAGGCAGGCAGAGGAAGGGCCTTGGGGCAGATGTAAATAACTGTAACATAGAGAACTCTTTTCTCTAATAGAAGAGCTGAAAGAAGATCAGGGAGGCTAAATAGAGAGAGTTGGGGGAGAGTGATAATAGCTGAGGCTGGAGATGGGCCAGATCATCCAGGGCCACGGAGACTGTTTCATTCTGAGTGCACTGGGAAGTCTTGCAGGGTTTTAAGCAGACAAGTGAAAGATCTGATATATATTAAAAATACGACACTGGGGGGCCGGCCCCACGGCCTAGTGGTTAAGTTCGGCGTGCTCTGCTTCGGTGGCCTTGGTTCGCAGGTTCGGTTCCTGGGCGCGGACATAAACCACTCACCAGCCATGCTGTGGCTGCGACCCACATACGAAATAGAGGAAGACTGGCACAGATGTTAGCTCAGGGTGAACCTTCCTCAAGCAAAAAAAGGAGGATTGGCAACAGATGTCAGCTCAGGATGAATCTTCCTCAGGAAAAAAAAAATTACTCTGGCTGTCTTGTGGAGAATGGATGGGAGGGAAACAAGAGCAAAAGTTGGAGAGAGTTGTTCGGACTGTGTTGCAGCATTCCAGGTTAGAGATGATGATAGTTGGATATAGGATTGTGGTTCAAGATTTGGAGAGAAGTGGATAGGTCAAAGATATTTATTTGGAGATTGACTCCAAAGGGCCTGGGGACAGCAAAGCTGAAGTCAGGAATAACATGGGTTCCTGGTTCGTGCAACATGGCTGATGTATTACCAGCCTCCTTTTTCAGCCTAGGAAACCAAAGCTCCAAGTGGTTAGGTAGGTCCCAGGAGGTGTGTCTAGTAAACGATGTATGAGAATTAAGCACGGACCTGTCCAACTCCAGAGACATCACACATAACCAACACACTCTACTCTTTCTCAGTGAGTCACAATCCTGCTGCTTTCTAAAAGGAGAGAAGTGGTGTCTTCTGGATTATAAACTCTCTGTCAATCATAATTCCATTTGCTTAGTTACCAAAAAGAAAGTCAATATCCAGGCATGTTATTTGAAGCATATTTTGGCCTGGAGCAGATTAGAAAATGTTATTTGGATCACATGATGGAAATGATGTTGTTCCTTAGATGTTTGACCTAGGTAAGCAGGTTCAAATATGAATGACTGGAAGTGATAATCCTAGATGTTCAAATTCTTCTGCCAGGCAGAAACCAAGCTCTGTTATCTCCCATAGGAACAGGAGAAGATATGTCATTCCTGAATTCCTTTGAGACCTTTCCGCCACTTAGACGACATCATTAAGGGCAGTTGATCTCGAGGAAAGGGGTTTACTCTAATGGGAAAAAGAGGAAAATAAAGTAGGTTAATATGGACCAGAGCCTCAGGCAACCCCTCATGGCTACAGAGGAGGTCTGGAGAGTACTATCAGGCAGATAGGGACATTGACAGCACAAGGCAGGATTAAATTAAAAAACAAATAGGCTGAAAACTCAGTTGTGTGTGATGATCCTAATACAAGATACCTTCTTGGATATGTTTTGGTCATGTCCTGAGACTTTCTGTATCCTGCTGCTATTTGTGCATCAGTAAAATTATATAGGTCTTATGCATTTTATTTGAAAAGTTATAGGTCTGAGGAGAGAGGTAAGAATGTTAAGAACGGGGGAAATTATGAGCTTACCTCTTCTGGCTGTTGAATTGTGGAGTAAATTGTGGAGGACTCTTTGTTTTCTGTAGGTGTTGAGATTTTCGTTTTCTGTCAAAAATAATCATACCCTTTTGGCTCACACAGACAAAGAGACACTCATGCCTGTTCATATTCTCAGGAAACATAGTGTGACAAAAGAGGGATGATGTCCAAGTTCTTCAGGAGGAAGGCTATGGAGTGTTTAGCAAGAGGAGCTGGAGACCAAACACTACCAGCTCTCAAACTTGTGAAAGTTTAGTGGCATTTCCTGAGCCCCAAACAGAAGCACAACATCCCAGCAAATCAGTGGGCCCAAAAACCAGAGAGAGACATAAGGATGACCTTGTTGGCAGATGGTGTGAAGGAAAGGAAGCATTCTTGTCCTGCATCCATCTGTACTCTCCTCCGTTCATTTCTAAGAACTAACTTATATTCTAGATGGTTATTATATTACATCTTTTGTCTCAGATCTTAACTAGCTATAACTAGAGGTATTGCCTGCTCCATTTTGTCCCTGTGATTCTAACTGCCTAGTCATCATGTCATTGGGTTCTCCTCAAGTGTGGGGAACTGGTAGAGTAGGAGGGACACCTGGTCTTAAGAATGGCTCTGCTTGGAATACAAAGTAAGCGATAACAGCAGAAGTCACCCATGCTTACAGGTTTTGACATTTAAAATTAATTAAGGAAATTTAGGGTATTATCAAGACCTCTGAAACTCTCCAAAGTACAATTTTTTTGCTAAAGAAAAGTTAAATTTTCTGGAGACTAGTTTCTTGGTTTGTTAAGAGTGATTCATCTTGTCTTCAAGAGGAAATTGGAAAGGCAATAAAAATATCTGAATAATTGAGAGTACCCTCTCTTGTTCCCTCCCTTCGAGAAGCCTACTTTGCAAACGCCTGGGAGGGGCTGTGTGAGGGGAGATTTGCTTGGGGAAATCCAAGATTTCTAGCTAGACCATTGCTTTCCATCAGTTGGGGAATGCCAAGTTGTCTTGGCTTATTTTTCAGAAGACTGGCCACCCAGGATGTATGGTGTTATTAGAAATGTGCCCACCTGCAGGTGCTTTATTTTGGGGTGGTGGGGAATTGCTGATGCATGGCAGGGGAGTTCCTGATGCCTGACCAAGGCCATCCTGTTACATTGCTAGAGGGGAGGGGAGGATTGAGGGCTGCTCTTGCCTTTAGTGTCTGTCTTCTACTGTGGAGGGGTTGCAAATTCTCGCCCCTCTTCCCAACTTGAAAGACTGCTTTTTAGCTCCCCTATTTCCCTGACAACCAGGGTGAGATTCCCCCTGTTACAGAATTGTACCCTTTGGAAACTCTCAAACTTAATTGAACTCTGATCCATTCAGCAAGTATTTAGTGAGCATCGTGTTAAGACGTAGGGGAAGAGAGAGGAAGACAATTTTCACTTTCAGGCAGCTTATAATTCAGCTGAAGGGACAAGATTTACCGATGCATTAAGTAGTTAGAGAATAGTGTAAAGCAGGGTATAAGTAAACATTCCATTGGGGTGAGAGCAGTGGGGGCTAGAAAGTTTCTGCACATAACTTTGCAGCTCCCGTCACTGCCGTCTCCTCTTCTCAATGGTGTACATCATTTAGATTAGTCAGATGATTGTGGTGACAAGTTAGTGAATAAAGACTGTAAAAGTAATGACAATGATAGAGTATAAAGCTGAAAGGACTCACCCTGGTTGGATGAGTGGTGACCTGAGCATACACAGTGTTCCCTGGAGAGACTGAATCGTACTCTAAATTCGTCCTGGTCTCTGCTGTTAACACAGGAAGGCACAGTCAGTGGCAGAAGGACTTTTGATCTGCTCCCCCAGGACCTTGCCTACCCCAGGGCACTTTCTGGCCCCAAAAAGGCAGTTGTTCAAGGCATTCCCCTTCCTCAGGGTTCATTCATTTTTGACAGTCTTTGGCGTTCTGGGTTGAACCAGAACATTCTCAGCCATGTGATCTATTTCTGACCTCATCTCTTGGGGGGACATGGTCTTGTGCTGCCCTAAAGCTTCAGAGTCTCCCTCTGGATACACATATGGGATAGGAAGCTCCTGGACCAAATAGCACTGCCTACACAAGAGCTAGAGAACCTCATTGGTGAGCATAATGGAATTAGTTATTTCACATATATCATACTGTTAAACTTTTCAGAGGCCCTTACATTAGGTTTGATTATGTTAGAGATGAGGAACTGGAGGCTCAGAAAGTTCAACTGACTGGGCACAAAGTCACACAGTAAGTGATCAAACAAAAACTTGAATGCATGCCTTCTGACTCCAAACCTCACGCCCTGTCCTCTACACATGATATCATATATCGCTCGCTCATGAAATGAGACCTAATGCCAATCTGAGTCCAGAGCCTGTGCTCCTGTCTCTATCTCACATTTTCTCTTTTGACTCTCTCTACTGAGTGCCTGAACCCTTGCTGAGGAGAGTCATGGGGTCAGGCAGTTTGTCCCCGGGCCTTTGGTGCTCTAATCCTGTCCCCACCCTGGACTTGCTGGGTGATAATGGACAGGCCATGAGCCCTTTCACTGGCACTTAGTTTCCCATGAGTAGGGTGGGGAATGACCCTAATCCCACTCCAAGATGTTGTGTGAGTGACCATTTTACATGCTTGTAAGGGACCCTGCAGTCCCCTTTGCACCACCTAGTCCATCTAAGTAATGACATTCTGACTCCCTCCTCATCTTTATCCAACCCTCTGACCCTCCCCCTTCTTCTTCCATTCAGCTATTGCCATCTGTTTTATGATTGGAAGTTAAGAGTCTGGAAGCTCACCAGCACTCTGGGCTTGCTGAGTAGAGGAATTAAAGAAACCTGAAAAACAAAATCAGGGAAATAGAAACTTGTGACTGTCGTGAGAGAGGCCTTCCACTCCCCACCCCCATAGGTGTCCCACTAGAGGATGTGGTGGGAGGGGACCCAAAAGGGAAGGGCAGGCAGGCCATGAGGCTGGCTCCTTCATTTCCCAGTGGGACACCTTCCTCAGGAGATTAGCAAGTGTGTCCCGGGGGTCCCAGTGGACTAGCCGAGCCAGGGTTTGCATCCTCCCTCTTCCACAAGGGGTAAAGGGAGGCCCCAGACTCTAAGTCTTTGGAAACCTGGAGAAGAGACAAGTAGGAAGAAAGAAAACCTGCCTGTTTTTTTCTTCCGAACAAATAAGTACACAGGGATGACTATGCATGCCAAAGGAATCAAAATTACAAGTATAATCCATTTGGTATCCAGAGGTTGATTTTTCGCACTAAAAAAACCTGAAAAAAAAAAGTTGCACTTGAGATATGTCAAATGAGGCCCAGAGTGTTTTTCTCAGAGTCACCACTGAGCGTCTCCCAGGCCAGCTTTGGGGGCTGCGTGGGTTCATCTATACCCAGAGGCTCTGGGGCTCTGGGCAGGCTTTCTGGGAGTGGGAGTCCCATGTGGCAGACATGGCAGGGTGGAGCCTGGTAAAACCAGGGGGAGGAAGAAATCCTGCCTTCCCAAGGACTTTGCTCTTGGGCTGAGTGGGCTAGAAGAGGAGTTGGGGGTGAAGGAGGGAGGAAGGAGAGACCTCTGGGGCTAGGGAGAAGCACAGAGCTCCAGAGAGCGTCTGTCCTCTACCAGCATCCTTTGGCTGCCTCCCGATGGGCTGCTGTTTTGGGAATCATGTAGGGTGTGAGGGACAGGCCACACCCCACAGCTGGTCAAGGCTCTGAGAGAGACCTGAAACAGACTGTTACCTTCGCATAGACTCTGAGCAGAGACAGAAAACGATAAATTGCTGACAAGATTCTCAGCTATGCAGGTGTAGTTCTGTTCACTGGAATTCTTGGGGTCCCAGGAGGTAGTGAGGTTTGTTTCATTTAGAGATGTGTTTCCTGAGATCCGCCACTTGAATAAGACGTTGTCATTCGGATTCTCCACAGTGCAGGTCAGGTGGATCTCACAAGTCCCATTCCCTGACAGTTGAGTGTGACTGGCAACTTGTAAGTTCCTCAGTCGTGCTGTGTGCAAAAAAAAAAGGTCCAGATTAAGGGCAAAAGGCTCGGCTCAGCCCTCTGTGAGAAACATCCACCTCAATGTTTCTGTATTCCACCTGACACTCTGCTGTATGTTATGGTTTGTATACTCTGTAAATAACTTCTTGTATTGCATAATTGATGAGATCAATATCTGGGGTGACCAAATGATGAGGGACATAGGTATGAGACAGAATAGCTAGTGGGAGAAGTGGGAAGGGAAAGACTAGGGTTGCCGCCAACTAGTTGGATAATTTTGGGGTGGTCACTTTCCTTTTCTGGACCTAGTTTATTCCGGAGATCTTTTCTAGCCCTTCTTCACTGTCCCTTGTGTAAAGACAATTTGGAGACTAAGCTGAGGGCCAGCCCTACTTTAGCCAGGTCAGAAACCAGAAGACAAGGCACAAGAGCCCTGTTTCCTCCATCATCAGAATTCTTTAGCTAGGGTGGAAGATGGAAGCTTAACTTCCTTGGGGGACCACACTTCCCCAAAATCTGTGGGAATCCTGGTCCTCATTGTATCTGATGCTGGCTCCAATGATGACAAAGAGATCCTGATGCAGAATGTCAGCTAGCAAGAAAGAGAAATACTGAGAACCAAAGTATTAGAGAAAGAAGACGTGAAGAAGCTGAGAGCAAGAAATTCCAGGGATCAAAGACGTGCAATATATTCAGACATTTGAGAAGACGTGATGCAGAAATTTCTGAGAGCAGAGACCAGAGAATATTGCCTAGTAAGATGTAAGTAGCTGTGAATCACTGGGACCTGGAAGCAGTACAGAAAAGGCTGCTGACCTAGACTCGGCCTGAGGGTTGAAGTAAAGATGACCCAATAAAGAATGGAATGACTCCAACTGTCTGATTAAAAAAGACTGAGTAATGCTTTAAGCTTAGTTAACGAAGTAGAGATGGTGGAACATATCTTGCTAGAACAGAGCTTTCATGTCACGGTGAGAGTGTTGGATTTGGAGTTAGGAAGACCTGGGTTAGAATCATGGCTTTGTCATTTACTGGCTACATGACCATGGATAAATTTTTAACCTCTCCAAGCTTCAGTTTCCTCATCTGTAAAACTGTGCAATAATACCTACTTCTTAGGTAATTAGGGTGATTAAATAAGATAGTGCCTGCCACAGCAATGGCAAACATTTGGCGTGAATGTCACATCTCCCTCAAACTATGTCTATGGTTGACCTCAAAAATCTATCTTGCTATCTTTTTCCATTTAATGAGTATATAACTGCCTACTTGACATTTCTGCTTGGATATAATGTGTATCAAAAATTCAACATGTTCAAAAGGGTTTCTGTTTTTCTCTCCAAAACCTGCTTAGTCTGCAGCCTTCCCCACCTTAGTTGATAACAACTGCATCCTTCCAGTTTGTCAGGCCAAAAGCCCTGGAGTCATCGACTCGTTTCTTCATCTCAAATTGCCACATCAGGAAATCCTGGTGGCTTTACTTTCATAATCTATCCAGAACCCAACCACTTCTCACTACCTCCACTACAACCACCTTGGTGCAAGCCAGCATCATCTCTTGCTTGGACTGTTGAAATGGCCTCTTAATTGGCACATTAGTTTCCACCTTTGTCCCCTCCTTTTTTTTTTTTTTTGTGAGGAAGATCAACCCTGAGCTAACATCCATGCCAATCCTCCTCTTTTTGCTGAGGAAGACTGGCCCTGAGCCAACATCTATTGCCAATCCTCCTCCTTTTTTTCCCCTTTCTCTCCCCAAGGCCCAGTAGATAGTTGTACGTCATAGTTGCACATTCTTCTAGTCGCTGTATGTGGGATGCCGCCTCAGCATGGCCGGGCAAGCGGTGCGTGGGTGCGCGCCCGGGATCCGAATCCGGGCGGCCAGTAGCGGAGCGCGCGCACTTAACCGCTAAGCCACGGGGCCAGCCCCGCACCCTTGTCCCTTAAAGTCTATTCTCAACAGAGCAGCCAAAGGGATCCTTTAAACAAATAAGTCAAATCATATTACTTCTCTGCAAAACCCTCTGAAAGTTCTCAGTCTCATGGAGAGTAGATGCCAAAGTCCTTGTGTTGGCTTTCAGAGCCTTACATGATGTGGTCCCCTATTTCTTTACTGACCTCATTTCCTATTACTCTCTCCCTAACTCTGCTTCTTGATGTTTGACCTCTTTGATGTTCCTTGAGCATGCCAGGCACAGGGGAATGCCTGTGTTAGATGGCTCTTCATTCAGATATCTGCACGGCTCACTCCCTCACCTCCAACAGGTCTTGGCTCAAATGTCATCCTTTCAATGAGGCCTATTATGACCACTCCATTTAAAACTGACCCCTGGGCCAGCCTCGTGGCTTGGTGGTTAAGTGCGTGCGCTCCGATGCTGGTGGCCCGGGGTTCGGATCCCGGGCGCGCACCGAGGCACCACTTCTCCGTCCATCCTGAGGCCGAGTCCCACATACAGCGACTGGAGGGATGTGCAGCTATGACATGCAACTATCTACTGGGGCTTTGGAGGGAGAAAATAAATAAATAATAAAAAAAAAAATCTTAAAAAAAAAAAAATAAATAAAACTGACCCCTGCTCCCTGGCACTCCTGATGCTCCTTATGCTGTCCTAATCGCTCTTTTCTCCATAGCACTCATGGCTTTCTTACATACTGTGTCATTTCTTTATATGTTATGTGTATTGTTTATTACCTCTCCCTATTTTCCACCCAGAATGTCAGCTCCGTGAGGGCAGGGATCTTTGTCTGTTTTGCTCACTGATGTATTCCAAATGCCTAGAACAGTGTCTTGTACATTGCCAATGGTCAACAAATATTGTTGACTCAATGAGTAAACTTAAGCTTCAACATCTTTCTTAACACTGAACTCTAGGCAGTTACTCCCAATTAATTGATATTGGCTCATAAGATCAAATCTTTGCCATCCCTAGCCCAGTACATACAGAGTAATTGGTCAAGGTTTTATAGAACCTATATAGTTCATACTGTGAAATTTCTTTGCACTATTGTAAAACATGTTGGTGTAGCCACACATCTCTTTGTGTATGTGCCTTTGAAAGAGATGCACTCCAAAAGGGTCTCAGAAAGGATCGGCATTGAGCCTTAGGAGTGTGGTGGTTGCAAAAGTAGTTATGCCTCATCTTCTAAATAGGGGCAGAAGAAAATTGTCTCAACTAGTGTGATGGAGTCTGGTGTGTGGTCTGTTCTCAGACTTTCCACTGGGTGTGTCTCTCTTCTCTCCAGGGTCCTAGCACTGCCTTGATGATCATTGGTTACCCAGAGTGATTCTGCCTCTAAGCAGTTGAATGATGACCTCAAAAAAGATATATCCATGTCCTAATTCCCAGAATCTTATTTGGAAAAAGGGTCTTTGCAGACATAATTAAGTTAGATGAGGAGATGATCTTGGATTATCTAGGTGGGCCCTAAATCCAATGACAAGTGTCCTTATAAGAGAAAAGCAGAGATATTTGAGATAGAAGAGGAAAAAACATGGACAAGAGGAGGAGACAATGTGACCATGGAGGCAGAGATTGCAGTGATGCATTCCCAGGCCAAGGAACCGCAAGGAATGCCAGCAGCAAGAAGAAGCTGGAAGAGGCAAAGAACAGATAGTCCTCTAGGGTCTCCAGAGGGAACGTAGCCCTGCTCACACCTTGATTTTGGACTTCTGGTCTCCAGAACTGTCAGAGAATAAAATTTCTATTGTTTTAAGTCACCAACTTCGTGGTATTTGTTTTGGCCGCCTCAGGAAACCAATACACTGTCCCAGGGTGATTTTGCCCCTTTAGTTGGACTCCCTTTCCCAGACATCCTCGCTTCCCCATCACATTTACCTGTTCTGTGTCCTATACTTTCAGGGACATGTGTTTGACTAATGTAACATGTGAATCTGCGAAATATTCAGGGGATACTAAAGGTTAGCTTATAACCTATTTTTGGTGACATTTTATTTTAACAGTGCTTTTTTGGATACCACATCTTAATTCAAAGGACTCTGGATGAATTTTTTAGACACTGCAAGTTCTCTAGTAGATAAGAATGATAGACTCTCAGTGGCCTTTAAGGTTGCCAACTTAATGCTTGAGTCTCTTGTACGACATTCCTGCTAAGTGATCTTAAGGCCATTCATGCTATCTCTGAACATCACTGATTGCTAGAAGGAGTTTTTTTCTGATATAGATTCATCAAGTGTCTCATTGTAGTTTCTATAATTTTATGTTGAGAACATGAGCTGTCTGGGTAAAATATTGTTAGAAATGAAGTAACTTTGATAGAAAAGACATTTCTCTTTAGCAGCTCATCCTTATAGAGCACTTTCTAGGTAGACCACTGTTCTGTACACGGATCACTCCAACAGGTCCGACTAGCTTTTGTGTAAAGGGAGATATCATGCCAGGTAGTTATGCGGGAAGCTCTGCCACTTACCATCGCTATGACTGTAGGCAGGTTGCTGTGAGTGACACTATGTCTCAGGGGTAAGGCTAGTACCTACATCATGGAGCTTTTGTGAGGATTACATGACAGATACATGTAATGCACATGGTAACAGAATCATAGATGTTTCACTTCCATTACTTCCGCTATCTTTCTGGTTGAAAGGGACCATTTTATTGTGTGAGGGGGAGTGAGGTGATTCTGGGCCGGAAGTCACAAGACTTAGATTCTATTCTCAGCTCTGTCACTAACTGGCCGTGTAATGACATTGAGGTGCTTTACCGTGCTGGACCTCGGTCTGACTCCAAATGCCATACTCTTTACCACTGGGCTATAGTGCACACTTGCAGTCACATAGAATTGAAATATGTAATATTTTTTAGTCCACACATAATTAAACCTCATGCTTTGACTCACTGAAGATCCTCAGGGTGTAACTGGAAAACACTGAGGAGGTATTCGTGACTATCTGGGCGCAGTAAGATCCTGCGTCTGCCATCGTCAGGTTGCTGAGCTGCAAGGAGGAGAACTGCATGACCTTCAGTCTATCTTTCCGTTTTGGAGCAGTCACCATGATTCGTTCTTCATTTGGCTGTATGAAGATGATAGACGTTCCGTTGTGAAGCCAGGTGATGGAGTTGATCTCCTCTCTTGCAGGAATCTTCAGGGGAAGAGTTACTGACTCCTCCAGAATCCCATCCACCATTAAAGTGGTTGAGCCGTTCTGTGAAACTATGTTCCCTGTAAACACAGAAGGGAAACTGCTATAACTCCCCCAGCCCTCCCCCCACTCCCTGCACACTTTCCCTCTAACTGCCAATCTGTTAGAGCCCTCTGATACTGAAGCTCAGAGATATGATGAAGAGAGAAAGGGTTAGACAAAGGGTTAAAATGGACAATCACAGAGGCACACTTTATAATTTGCAAATTTGTTTTTTTATTCTCTCTCCCTTCCACTAAGAATACAAACTCCATGAAAGCAAGGATTTTTGTCTGTCTTGTTCCTTGCTGTGAATACTCTTGAACAGTGCTTGGCACATAGTAGGCATCCAATGAATATTTGTTGAGTGGGTGAACATATCTCCGTTCCTTCTTTTGGAGGTTCTCTATCCAGGATATTAAGGACCAATGCCTCTGGGCATACCCTGTGGCCCAAGGACTCCCAGGAACTGTTCCTCCCATGCCTAGCACATTCCTTTAAAGTTTCTTTGTTTTTATAGATTGCAATTCTTCATTTATTTAACAAGTCATTCATTCTATTTGCTTAGTTCTATGCCAATTGAGTGAGTAATGCCTTAGAAATCATGGCATTCAGACCATATTTACTAGAACGCTTTTATGTACCAGTTTCCGGTCTGAAGACTGGGAATACAAATACGAATAACACATGTCAGTCCCCTGGGTTCACCATGTGGTAGAGGAGCCTGACAGGTAAACCAGTAGTTACAGTGCAATGAGTTACGCATTGACCTAGGATAGAGCTTGCCCCCACACTACCCTTGTAGCATTAATTGCACCCTGTGCAGTAGATATCTAGGCCTTCTTTCTCTTTGTTATAAGTATGAGATTATTTTCCTCTCTTTTTCATAATCTTGAAGGTAGGGATTATACTTATTATCTCTGTATTCCTAGTACTTGGCACAATCTCTAGCTCAATAAATGTTGAATTCAGAGAAGTATGTTCTCAATACAAATAGTGAGCACAAATGGTGAGAATGATGGGCTGGGGAGAGTTGGGGGTTGTCTGGGAACACTCCACAGAGGAGGTAACATTGTAGCAGGGTTTTGAATAGAAACAAGAGGTTATTCATTGCTGGATTATTTAGGATTCTTCCAAGAATGTCTTGCTTTTCCTTTGCTCAGTTGTTCCCTTTGCCTGAAACGCCCTTCCCCCCCTTTCCACCTGGTGAGCTCCTATTTATCCTTTACCCTGTTTCACTCTGCTTATGTTTGTGAGAGTTTTGCATTGGTACAGGGAGAGGAGAAAGGAGTTTGTGGTCGGAGAAGAGGAGAAGGTAGTAGAAGGAAGAGAAGGGGATGATAGAAGTAGTTTCTTCCAGGTGTAAGAACAAAAAAGATTTGAGCCACTATGCTTAGGGAAGAGTTGATAAGTTACTGAAAATGTTCAAAAGCCCCTCTGTGAGACTTTGGACACAAGCTGAGGTGCTTTGGGGCTCAAGTGATATGGTGTATCCCATGGGGCACAAGGAGGCCCTTTTCTCTACTCTGCCTGGAATCAGCACTGATGTTTTGGGAATGTCCTGGGCCAGCATCCTTGGCATGGATATTGATGTTCTCAGGGTAGACAGGACATTAAGGTCTCCTCTAAGTGGCTCTGCTGGCAGCGGATGTGGTGGACTACAACCAGAAGAGGAGGTTAAGAATTGGGAGGACGCCACATAACTGCGACTGGAGGCTGCTTTGGGGGCCCATAGGAAGCATCCCTTTGGGGACCTTTGTAAGTCATTGGGGAACTACTTGGAGCAAGGGGGTGGTGCTGAGGTCCTGCCCATCCTCTAATGAGGATGTTGAGTCAGCAGACATTTGAGATATGCTTACATCTTTCATCCATTGGATGACATGCTTCTGGGAACATGAATGATGTCTTAGTCAGCTGGTTATGCCCCAGAACCTGGCCCAGGGAACTCAGTGAGTGCTAAGTAGAGTGAGATTAGAATGTGCTGTGTCTTGAATGATTACCAGAACAACATTTTTTGGGAAGGAATTAAGAAACATGGAGTATTTTTGAGAAATGGGAAGGTATAAAGAAAGCAGGAAGGAGAGGGAATGATAGGATTGAGCTGATTTTGAAAAAGAGACAAAAGTCAGAGAAACTTTGGTATTTCTAACCTAGGGAACTGACTTAGGCCTGTCTGTAGGAAAGAGGGATACACAGTCCTGTGTTGCTTAACCATGGAGATACATTCTGAGAAATGCATTGTTAGGGGATTTTGTTGCTGTGTGAACATCTTAGCGTGTACTTACACAAATCTAGATGGTATAGCCTACTATTCACCTAGGCTACGGGGTACTATCGTATGGGACTACTGTCATATATGTGATGTGTCACTGGCCGAAACATGGTTATGCAGCATGTGACTGCAGTAGACTATTTCAGCTCAGTAGGAAACAAGTTCAGAAGCAGGGTAGGGGATGATTTCTCAAGAGATTTAATAGAGAAGAGAAAAGAAACAGGGCAGAATCTTGAGAAGGCCTAGTGAAAATGAAAGTACAACATACCCAAACTTACAGGATGCAACGAAAGCAGTGCTCAGAGGGAAATTTATGGCTGTAAATGACAGTACAAAAGAAGAAAAATCTCAAATTAATAACCTAAATTTATACCCTAAGGAACTAGAAAAAGGAGAGCAAAATAATCTCAAGGCCCAGAAGGAAGGAAATACCAAACATTTGAGTGGAAATAATCAAGCTAGAGACTAGACAACCAATAGAGAAAGTCAACAAAACCAAAACGTGATTCTTTGAAAAGATCAACAAAGTTGACATACATTTATCTAGATAATTAAGAAAAAAATAGAGATGACTCAAATTACTAAAATTAGAAATGAAAGAGTGGACATTACTACAGACCTTATAGAAATAAAAAGGGATTATAAGAGAATGCTATGAATAACTGTATGACAACAAATTAAGTAACCTAGATGAAATAGACAAATTCCTAGAAACAAACAAATTACCAAGACTTACTTGAGAAGAAATAGGAAATCTGAGAGGACCTATAGCAAGTAAAGATATTTTATCAGTAATCAAAAGCCTCCTAGCAAAGCAAAGCCCAGCACTAGATGGATTCACTGGTGAATTCTACCAATTATTAAAGAATAATCAACACCAATCCTTCTTAAACGTTTTCCAAAAATAGAAGAGAAGAAAACATTTAATTCATCTTTTGAGGCCAGCATTACCCTGATACCAAATCCAAAGACAACACACAAAAAAGAAAACTATAGACCAATATCCCTTATGAATATTGATGCAAAAATCCTCAACAAAATACTAACAAACTGAATCCAGCGGCATGTTAAAAGGATTATACACTGTGACCAAATGGAATTTATGCCAGGAATGCAAAGGGGGTTCAACATATGAAAATTAATCAATGCAATACACCACATCAATAGGACGAAGGAAAAAAGACATGATCATCTCAATTGATACAGAAAAATTATTTAACGAAATCCAGTACCCTTTCACAATTAAGATTCTAGGAATAGAAGGGAACTTCCTCACCTCGATAAAAGGTGTTTTGAAAAAACCACAGTTAACATTCTATTCAAGGATGAAAGACTGAAAGCCTTCCACCTAATAATAAGAAAAAGACAACAATGTCAGATTTCACTACTTCTATTTGACATTGTACTGGAAGTTCTAGCTAGAGCAATTAGGATAGAAAAAGAAATAAAAATTATTGTTATTGGAAAAAAATAAATGGAACTATTCCTCTTCATAGATGACATGATCTTACAGATAGAAAATACTAAAGAGTGCACACACACACACAAATCATCGGAGCCAATAAATAAGTTCAGCAAGGTTGCAGGATAGAAGATCAATATACAAAATTCAGTTGTATTACCACACACTAGGTATGAACAACCTGAAAAGGAAATTAAGAAGACAATTCCATTTACAATAGCATCCAAAAGAATAAAATATCTAGGAATAATTTAACCAAGGAGATTCAAGATTTATACACTGAAAACTATAAAACGTTTCTAAAAGAAATTAAAAAAATACTTAAATAAAAGGAAAGATATCCTATGTTCATGGATTGGAAGACTTAAAATTAAGATGGCAATACTACCCAAAGCAACCTACAGATTTAATGCAATCTCTACCAAAATTCCAATAACTTTTATGACTTTTTTTTCAGAAATGGAAAAGCCAATCTTCAAATTCATATGGAATTGTAAGGGGCCCCTAATAGTCAAAACAATACTGAAAAAGAAAAACAAAGTTGGAGGACTTACACTTCCCAATTTCAAAACTTACACAGCTATAGTAATCAAAACACTTGGTGCTCACATAAAGATAGATATATAGATGTCTATATGGAATTGAATGGAGAATCTATAAATAAATCCACACATTTATCGAGAATTAATTTTTGACAAGAGTGCCATGATCATTCCATGGGGAAAAAACAGTCGCTTCAACAAATGGTGCTGGGACGGCTAGATATCCACATACAAAAGAGTGAAGTTGGACCCCTACCTCACACCTGCACAAAAAATTGACTCAAGGGGCTCGTCCTGTGGCTTAGCGGTTAGGTGCATGTGCTCCACTACTGGCGGCCTGGGTTCAGACCCTGGGTGCACACTGTCGCACCACTTGTCTGGCCATGCTGAGGTGGGGTCCCACATACAGCAACTAGAAGGATGTGCAACTATGACATACAACTATCTACTGGGGTTTTGGGGAGAAAAAGGGAAGAAAAAAATAAAAAGGAGGAGAATTGGTAATAGATGTTAGCTTAGGGCCGGGCTTCCTCAGAAAAAGAGGAGGATTGGCATGGATGTTAGCTCAGGGTTGATCTTCCTCACTGAAAAAAAAAAATTAACTCAAAATATTACAATGACCTAAATATGAGAGCAAAAATTACAAAACTCTTAGAAGGAAACATAGGAGTAAATCTTCATGACCTTGGATTTAGCAATGGATTCTTAGATGCAACACCAAAAGCATGAGCAACACAAGAAAAAGTAGATTGATTTGATTTCACC